GGGAATCCTTTTCCCTGTGTGCATTTCTTTTTGTGTGTCCCAGGCCCCCTTCCGTGCCGTCGTTGGCTGCCACGGGCGGGCGCCCGCTCCTCGGCGCCCGGGCCTGGGAGCGCCCCCGGGCCGCCCGGGGAGCGGACGTCGGCACCGTTTGACCGATCCCCCTCCCCCCACCCCCCTCCCCTTGGATAGTCTGGACGCCCGAAATGGGTACTGAAAGAAGGGGTACCATGCCCAACAGCGGATCTTGTTCATTTTGAACAGGGCTCGCTGTCCACGCCGCGGCGGCTTGTGTCCATTCGAGACAGGAGGCCGCCCGCCCAACAGCGGCCGCTGTTGGTTCGGGACAACATTTGCTGTTGGGCATGGTACCCATTCTTTCGGTACCCATTTCGGGCGTCCAAAGATAGGGGAAACGAGAGGTGGCATAAGCATAAACATCTCGGAGGTCCGCGCGGATTTCTCGGATCGGCGCTGGACCCCCCTCCCTGGCGCGCGGAGCGCGCCAGGGGCGGCGCCGGAGGCGCCGCCGGGGGGCCCCAGCGCCGATCCGAGAAATCCGCGCGGACCTCCGAGTTTTTATGTTTATGTCACTCTTTGTTTCCCTATTCGAGACCCCCACCACATTGCCCCCCCCCCCCCCAGTGGGGGATGCACCCCTCCGAACCCGAAGGGAACGGCCTACATCCCCATCTAGGGGGGCACATCGGCCAGTGGGGCCCAGGCCACGCCGCTGGGGATGGTGATCGGATAAACGATACTCAGGAAGCGTGTCGGAATCGCTTGGGGCCCGAACAGATCGTCACCCATGACGATGGCCGGGGCTACTGATAGATCACCTCCAGCGATGACTGATTGGAGGCCTTCCTCACGGCAAAAACCTTACCTCAAGATCAGTTGTGATTTCGAGCGCGCAATCACTTCGGCAATGGCGGCAGCGACGACGCGACCAAATGACGCAGCGATGCGGCCGCGACGGCAGGCGACAACGATTGCTTGTTTTCGAAAACATGTTAGCGTTCACGGCGATGATGGATGACAACGGTAACAGCGGTGGATATGCGGGAAGCAGGAGGAGCAGGAGGAGTAGAGAGGAGGAGGCAGAGGAGGATGCAGAGGGAGGGGGAGAAGGGGGGCAGACGGGAGAGGATGCAGAGGGAGATGGTGGCGAGGAGGAAGGAGGAGGGGGGGATGGCTGCCTTTTCCGCGGTGAGCGGGAATCGCCGTCGCGCTGCGTGCGCAGACTCGCCGTCGCGCCGCGGGTGCCATGGGCGGCCCACCGACCTCCAACCCATTGAAACATGAAATTGTTGACGTCTCGCGTATCCCCACCAGTGTGCGCTTCGCGGCTGGCTGCTTGTGTCTGTCTCTTCGCGAGTTGGCGCCGTCAGGGCGACTCCTCGCTGGCTTACGGTTGCCGTGGCCTTAATTGGTCTTTGCATGTGCACTCCGCGCGTCCTCGCGCTAATTATCTTGCGCTGTGTCCTAGCCTTGGTACCAACGCCCTCTGGACTTTTCCTTGCGGGCCGCTAATCAAAAAAAGTATCCCCACCGGCCTGAGTGGCTGTGTTAGGCTTGCTTCTGATTAATTCGGCCCTCGCGCGCCCCGCTCGGACCCTGACTCGCCGCTGGCGCTCTCGCCTGCGGCTGCCGACTACAAAGTATCCCCACCAGCCCATCCACAAACGATGCCCAGGCGAGTTGCCTTGATCAGGGAAGCGGGGGAGCATACAGAGGAACAAAGTGCTGGAGACACCGTCGTACCCCAAGAGGTGGAGGAATCGAAGGAGGAGGAGGAGGAGGAGGGCGAGGAGGAGGAAGGAGGAGGACAACATGGAGAAGGACGAGGAGGAGGAGGTTGGGCAGGGGGAGGAGGGAGGAGGACGAGGAGGATGAATAGGCGGATGAGCATGCGGAGGGGAAGGAGGAGGAGGAAAGGGGCGAACCGAAGAGCCACAAGCCTCTTGAGTGCGTTGTCTCCCGGAGTCTCCTCGGATGCGTCTTGGAAGTTTTTTGGACGCTTTTTGGAGCGCCTTGGGGGTATCTGGGCGTGTGGGGGCCTCTTGGGCGCCTCTTGGGCCCACCTGGGCGCCTCTTGGGGCCCCCTTGGGGCGCTCCTAGGGGCGCTCCTAGGGGCCTTGGGGACGCTCTTGGAGCCATCTTGGAGGACATCGATCGAAAAAGGGGGGGTCCCTCTTAATTAGCGCTGCCCCTCAGGAGCCCCAAACATCGCCTCCTGGACCTTCGTGGAGCGCTCTTGGGGCGCTCTTGGGCGCTTTGGGGGCCGTCTTGGGACTCTCTTGGGCCTCTCTCGGGGCCCTCTTGGGCCATCTTGGAGCCATCTTGAGGCCTCGGAAGGCAATCGAAAACGAACGGGCGACGGTGCACAAATCATTTGTTTTCCCTGGGTTTTTGAAGTATTCTGGCCTCCTTGGAGGTCTCGGAGGCCTCTTGGATTCGGAGCCATCTTGAGGCATCTTAGGCTATCTTGAGCCATCTTGGAGCTCATCTTGGGCTCTCAGAGGCGCTCTTGGAGCCGTCTTGGGCCATCTTAGACGCTCCAACTACCAGCGACCCCCCCCTGTCCAGGTCCAGGGGAGGGGGTAGGGGGGAGGGGCAAATCCCTCCCCGATGGGAAAGGAGGGGGTTGGAAGAGGAGCCTTCCACCTAGACCACCTACGCCCAGAGGGCTAGCCAGGATTTTTCTTGAAGATCTTTGTCTGCAACCAGACTGGATGCGCGCTCCAACGCCAGCCGACATGGAAAGCCCACTGCCTCGACCTTGACATCAAACGCTTGCGAACAAGGCATTCGGAGCTCACCCTGTCCCATTGCTGTTATTATCGGGCCGGACGAAAGGGGGGGATTGGGAAAGGGAGGGTTACGAAATTTGCTGCATGCAGCTGGTTTCGGCCTCACCGAGGGGCCCATTCCTCGATACATAGCCGCCTCCGGCGCCGGGAAAATCAGCTACGTGAGCTGATTCTCAAACCCCCCCTTTGCTATCCCCCCCTGTCGCCCGACCCGATAGTAACACACAACGCTGCGTGTGTTTGAGCTGCCGCCGTCCTGTGCGGAGGCCTCCGCTCCGCCGTGGGGTGGGCGACCCCGACTGGCCGTCGGAGGCCTCTTGAGAGCACGGGCCGCCCGCAGGGGCGCGACTACACTCGCGCACGGCACGTCGCGGTCTCGGCTGGGGCTGTGATGTTCCACTCTACTTTAGCCTTGATCACCAGAATCGGGTATGCAGTCGGGGCGCTGAACAAGGAACCCTTTTCGTTGGGAAGGGGCTCCGTGTTCCTTAATAATTGTTTCGCAGTTTGCCTTGGATTTTCCTTAGGTTATCGATACAAAATCGAAGTTCAACTTGTGGAAAATAGGGGCCTCGTTCCTTATTTAGGGTTCCTTAGGTCAACGCCTCGACTGTATAGCCAGGACCCCGGGTAAGGAGACCCGGTTAGTGATAGGGCCCTGGGGCCCCTCAATGGGCCAGATTCACTAAACCAAGTTTGCCGTAATTCGTGTTTTTCGGGTGACGGCAGTTCCGGTTAGCGGAATGGGGCGGGGGGGGCGCCCCCCGGTACACATCACTAAACCAGGTTCCATTAAACCCAGTTCTGCCAACGCCCGACAGAAAGAATTTCGAGCACCGGAAAAAAGTACCGAATTTCGAGGGTGTTCCTGTGTCGGGCTCTGGGAGACACTCGTCCGACACTGTTTCGACACTCTTTCGATACTCTATCGACACTCTTCCTGGTGCTCGAATTCATTTCTGGGATGTGGTCCTTAAGTACGATTGGAGCAACACAAGGCTAGAGGGGTGTCCTACTCCAGGTTGCACTGGAGGGTCGCGGCTATTGGAGATACCCGTCGAGTTCCACCACGTTCAGGACACGCCCCCGAGTGCCCCGGACGTCCAGCATTGTTCGAGAGGCTTAAGACATCCCGCCGGCCCCAGATAAGATTAAAATATGTGCGGCTTCCGATTTCGTATTTGTTGGCTGCCACTTCCCGTCGTGATATCTTCATGTAGTCTTTGTTGATTCGCTCTCCTCTTGCCCCGCGTCTGTTCAGGACTTTTTGGGGGCCTCTTGGAGGCGTTGGGAGCAGCCTCTTGTTTTTATATTGTTTTTTTGGGGGATGGGCTCTTGAGGGGCATGTTGGGGGTCTTGGAGGCCATCTTGTGGGGGAGAACTCCCAGGGCCCCTACGATTTCCCCTCTGGGCCTCTCTGGGGCCCTCCTCGGGGTCGTCTCGAGGGTTTTTTGGGGGGCTGTCGCGGGGGCCTCCTGGACAGTCTTGGGTGACTTGGGGTTAATCATTGCGCCCTCTTGGGGGCCTCCTGGGCCGTCTTGGCTTGCAGAAGGCGGAAAATCTGCGAACGCGAGAACCATGCAACAACACATTTAAGATCAATGATTGTAGCCTCTTGAAGCTCACTTGGGGGTCATCTTGAGGTTTTGCTGGGGCGTCCTCTGCGCCTCTTGGACCTTCTTGACGCCAGCTTGGAAGCTCTTGAGGCTTGGAGCTGTTGTTGATCCTTTTTTCAAATGAATTTGGGGCATCTTGGTGGCCACGGAGGAAGCATATGGAGGTTCCAAGGGACCCGATGTGCGCTGACGAGCTCGGGACCCCCCCATTCGAACTGGATTTTGGACCCCAGGAGAAGGGGAAAGGGAGAGGGGGACAGCTCATCATCTCACACACGTTGCCACCCCTGGCAAGCAGGGGTCGGCGGATTCCCGCGCGCAGGCGCACAGTGGACCTCCAGCTCTTTCAAAGTGGGCTTGATGAATCCGAGCGGTCATGGTAAACACTGCAATCTCAATCTCACAGGAGCCGCTCCAGAAAGTGGCCCGTTTTTTGGGGGGGGTGTACATCTCGTCCCTGGCGGAAGCCAGCGGAAGCGAAGCGCAGGTCCGCCCGCCTCATCCGATCTGGCCCCATACGGGCGGCCTCCACTCTGTCGCTGCCTTTCCCCTCCCCCCCCCCTTCCGCGCCAAG